TGCAACCTGAAAGTCAGTTTTGGGAGGCTGATTCCTAGTTTACTAAAATCACTTAAATAAAAAACACAGCTAATAATGTAGACCTAGCTGATGGTGTTTTTCAGAATGTTATTGGGTTATATATGCTATTAGTGGTCTTACTCGTGGTGGAACAGTGCTGGATCTAATCCCAGTGAACAGTAATACAGAGAATCATTACAGATGTATCTACTTCTTCAGTCTTTAATTTGCTAATTTTTTCTGTATTAATGTAACCTGGTAGCTGATGACTAGTTTTGGTCTCCTAGACAACAGAGGTCTCTGTTCCTTTTAATTTCTCTTTTAAAAAGCTGTGAAAATCTTATGTAGAATGGATTATTCAGCTCCGTTTTAAACATTCTCTAATTGTAAAAATTTAGTTTTGTACACCCTCTGTGATAACTGGGTATTCAGTTAATTTTATGTTTATCTGAGTGATGTGACCATATTTTGTTAACCTGGAACAGGAGATGTTTTTAATAGTTCTGTACGTGCTTTTGCCAGTGTAAGATGTAAATGCAATGTGTTTTCTGTTTTTGTTCTGTTTGTGTTTTGTTCCGGTTTATGTGTTTTTTTTTTTTTTTTTTATCTGACTTTTCCATTCTTGATGTAAATACTGGGGTGTTTGTTGTACCTGACTCCTTGTGATTCAGTGAGTGTGATCCTAATCTTAGCTTTTGAGATTGACATTATAGGAGAGAGACTACAAGAATCACGTAAAATGAAAGATTAGATGAAAAACAGTTAAGTTGTGCTGGTTTCTTAAAACTTCAGTCTCCTGAACTAATTCACATCCTGAAAATGTCATCTGGAACAACTGTGTGACTTAAATGCACAAATAGCTATAGTAGCTGGGTATGAAATTCTGTCCCATAGTTGGTGTCATTTGATAGTTAAATAGAAAGATGAGAAACTCAGGGGGCTGAACTGTCAGGAGTTTGAGTGAGGTGAACCTGGAGAAGAATATATGAACTGGAAGGAGGGAACGAATAGTTGGACAAGGTGGGAGTTGGAGGGATCAGCACTCAAAAGAGTAGGGACTGGCTGTGTGGCTGAGGAAAGTCAGGTTGTGGTGAGGAGTTAGTGCAAGGGCAGGTCCAATTTGGGCAGAAGTGCTGGTCCACCAGGACACAGTTTTCTCAGTCTGTTGGATTGGGGATTTTACAGGTGCTGCATTCGGTGTCTGACATCAGATATTTAGTCTGTCCCAGAAATTCCCAATCTTCTCTCTTTGCAGAGGGTAACCCAGTTTTTAATCAATTAAGTGATGCAGCAAGTTTAGGTCTCTGGATATTTGATGGGTCCTGCCATGCTGCTGCTCCGTTGGTCTGTATATTATCACCTATTGGAGTTTGTGGCTTTTTTTCTGTTTCTTAATATCAAAAAAGAAAAATAATGAAAAAATAATACATTTAACTTTAATATCTGCGTGGGACACGGAAAAAATAGATTATGCCATCCTAAATTTTGCTTATTCCTATAGTATATTAATATTTTCACTATTCTTAACCACTACTATAAATGTCATGCAACATAGAAATTTGATGGCATTAATTTGAAAGCAGCTTTTTGAGTATGTAGTCCCGCAAGACACTTATTGTTACTATGCATTATTCAATCCAAATTAACTTCTAAATTCAGTATTTCATTATTCTACAGCAGTGAATATAACTGCTTCACAGTGTTTCCCACTGCATTTACACAAGCTGGCATTTGTTCCGTGTAAGAAATGAGATGCAATGAATGTAAGGTAAATGATTCAAAATAGTCCTTTGTGTTCCTTGGGATGTCGCATCTAGTCTTTTCAGAAATACTGCAAGTAGAGTTTTGAGGTACAAAGTGCAGCTGCTGTTGGTGTCGGTAGGTATTCAGAACAATTTGGAGTCTAGCAGCCTACACCTGGGCACCCACACTACGGCAAGCTGCTTTATTTCAGTGTGGATGGTAGTTTTAGCATTAGAGGAGATCACAGTTAACTAGTATAGGGAAATGGAGATCTCCAGGCTGGTACTTAACCTCCTTCAACTATGAGCTTACTCTTCTTTTCCTGGGATCTCTCGTTTACTTCTTGATTCTTTCTGCTTGTGGAAGAGACACCAGACTGCAATGGAGGGTTTCTGAGAGCAGAAATGGGGTGCTACTTGCTCTGGTGGAGTTCAGTTTGTGTATTTCAATATGCAATGATTTGGTTTTACGAGGTAATGAAGCTTTACTTAAATAGAGCTGATATTGAAGGTCCTCTGAGTCATTCAGTGTTTTTCAGAGCTGCTGGCACTTCTGCAAACAATAGCAATATTTGGCAGAAGTATAGCAATTGTTAATACAAATGAGAATGGACTTCTGATGGAGGGCATCTTGCTCTACTCACTACGTGTATTTAAGCTTACAACTTATTTCTGCTGCTAAGAGTTTTGATGTCGTAAGTTTGTTTGGCTCAGCATACGTTTCCTGTCATCTGTCGGTGTTAGAATATCACAATAGCTGTGTGAAGAGATCTGAGAAACTTTTTTACCCTAGTCTTCTCTAAAACACTGACAAAAAAGGCTTTCATTAGTTATTTATTATTGTTTGCAAGTTGTATTTCTAAATATAGATTGCACTTATGAATTTGGTTTGATCATTCTTTCCTGCTTTTTGGAAAGCTGCTGCTGTTCAGTGCCTGTCTCATGAATCTGATACTCTAGTTATTCAGATAATTGCATTTATTGTCCTTTGTGGGCACAATCAAGCTGAGTTAATAGTGCAGCCTTCAAACAGAGTTTAGTGTTGAAGTATACTTTTAAACTTACAGTACTAAGTGCTATTTGAGTTTTAATGATGTAGACATGCTGTTTCACTATATGGCTGATTGTTAGCAATTCCTAGTTTCATATATGTCTATACTAGAACATTTTTATGTGTAGAAGAGGGAGTGATGTGAGAGCATTTATGGAAGGGGGACCATTCTAAAAGCATGAATAAAGTTGAATATTTCATATTCTGCTAATTGATACTAACATGCAAAGGCTAGAATAAGCATCCCGAGTCTGGCTGGGATGAAGTTATTTTGTATTTTCTTAGCAGTCCATGTGGCGCCCTGTTTCAGACTTGCCGACCCACCACAGTAAGTTAAAAGTTTTCAGCTATATACAACTTTTTACCATCCTTTATATGGAATTATGAAGTTGTCTTATTGGTATTAACTTTAAGTTAATATTTTTTGATCTTGTACTGACAGATCTAAAATAATGCCTAATTCAAATGCCAGTTTTAATTCTTCACTTATTTATCTTTTTACTTGCTGTTTCAAATGATTCGTAGTTGAATTTTGACAACAAGCTTTCTCCCCATGTACATGCTTTCCCTTGTTTTTGTTGTTGTTGATTGTCTTACAATTAATTACTCCATCAGTGTATGCAGGACCTGATGAGATGTTGTTTACAACAGTGCATTCAGGACTAGGATAGTAACATAAAAATATGGCAGGATTGTGAGGGAAACTGCCACCAGGGTGTCTTTATTCAAACTGCTGATTATAGTGTAAGCAAAATGTAGGAAACCTGATTTTGAATTGCACCTAAGATTGTTGTGTATACATTTACAGAAAGGGTGATTCTTGTTCACTTACTATTAAAATACTGCTTTGCAGCTGTATGCTTTAGCCCAAAAAGCCCAGTATTTTGTGACCAGAAGGGCAGTTTTTATGTATTCTTAGGCACATGGGTTTTATTAAAATATGCAATGTATATTTTCTTTATTTTTGAAGCCCTCTTTTTCTTGTCTAGTTTTTTTTTTTACAGTAAAATGTTTTTAATTGCCTCATATTAATAAATGTGTGTCTAGTCTGTCTAGAGCTAATGGACAGAATTTTTCTCATTTGCTGTATCCTTCAGGATTTTGGAGTTGAGAGAGATTCTGCCCTGTTTGTTTGTTTGATTTTTTTTTTTTTTTTTTTTTTTTTCCCTAGATATAAATAAGTTGACCACAGCCATTAAGAAAATAATGTTCCTGCATCTATAGATAAGATTGCTCCTGTCAGGACTAAGCTAATGCTGTGATAGATGCTAATTCTAAGCATATAGCTGTTACTTTCAGTAGTTTAAAAGTGTATTTACTTAAGTGTAGATAATGTGATTTACTGTATTTAAAAAAAAGTTAGATTAATCTTTCTTGTAGAGGTTTTAAATGTACCTGTCTTTAAAGGAAACACGAAAGTAAATGTATATACATGTAAATACTTACATTCTTCCCAGTCTTTATGAACTCTGGTTTGTCTTCTAATGTTGAACTAGACTATTGAAATTAAGAAAATATGTGTCTCTATGCATAACAGTTAAAAATAAGTAAACAGCATATTTACAGCTATTTTGTGTATTTGTGCACTTTGTGCATTTTTATAACTAGCCAGATTGAAGACGTAGATTCAATAATTTTCAAGAAAACTTTCCTTTTGTCTGTTCTGATGCTCTGAAGATGCAGAAAGCTTAAATTAAGGCACATAAAGAGAAAAAACATAAAGAAACATAATAGTTGAACCAGGCATCACATGGAATAAGCACAATCTTTCTTCATATGATGTTAGTGTTGTCTGTGGTAGCGGGCACTTTTGCTCTTCTAACAACTAAGCTTGCTTGTCTCTAATACAACTCAATATTTAATTACTGAAATAGTTTTTTCAACCTAAACCAAGCTGAACCAGAGGTGGTTTTGGCATTGTGGGACACTGTTTTCTCAGTTCTTTTTTTTTTTAACTTTTTTCATACTCCTGAAGGTATTGGAGGTACTTCTGGGTAGGGAAAACCCAGAATTACAGAAAACTGTTTTCTGTTTTCTTCTGTTTTGCTTTTTGTTGTGGAGTCCAGTGGTCAACAGAGCAGAATACAGTTTTCTTCCCTTCTCTGGTGAGAACTTTTTTCTGTAAAAAACAGTTTTATATGATGTGATGATCTAAGTGTTGACTTGTTGCTTTTGTATACATGCATACATTTACAGAACTGTTTTTCTCTTCTAGGATCCTTCTGTTACGCAGGTGACAAGAAATATTCCTCCAGGGCTAGATGAGTACAATCCTTTCTCTGATTCAAGAACAGTAAGCACACTTATTTCTTAATCATCCTTTTAAGCTTTCTAGGTAAGATTTGTGAGGTGTTTTTTTCAGAGTTTGGGACTGACGTTATAAAACAAGTGAGCTAGAGGTAGCGAAAGCTGCGTAAGGCTAGGTAGTCCGATAAAGTATTTGGAGGATCCAGTGGGTAGATTGACTTAAGTGAGCTTTGACTTGTCGAGAGAGTGGCTTTCTGAAAGGAGGCTAAAACAAAATTGATTTTTTCACCTCTTAATTAAGAGTTCTGATATTCTGTTCTTAGGCTTTTTTGAATTTTATTTGTTTTAAAACTTGTCAGTGTGGCACACATCCTCTGTGTCTTTTGTTTACATTTTGGTTAATGAAAGTACTGCTCAGAATAAGAAAGTTACTGCGTTTAAGGAACAGTCCACAGATTATGAGTAGTTCTAGTGTAGTAAAACAAATAATTTATGTCCAAGAAACAAATTTTTTTTTTCCTTCAAATTTGTGTACTTTTAATATACCTCATGCTTATTTTCACTCACAGAGGAGTGGGGGGGAGGGGAATACAAGGAATGGAGTAGTAAATTCATACTGTAACAGCATTTGCCAGTGATTACTTTTGATAGTGAAGATCTCATGCAAGATTAGCAAAATGTATGGGTGATCACTGTCTATCAGTGTAATTTGGACACATTCAAATACTGTATTTTTCAAATGTAGGCTTATTTCCTATGGCAAATCTAGTAGTGCTAATAGGGAGTCCTGGTATTTGAAGCTTTGCAATGCAACAGTGAGATTTCCTACAGTGTTAAAATGCTAGACTGGAAGAGGCATGGCTTTGAGTATGCCTTGGATCAACTATTTAATGCAGAATGTTTACAGCTAGCAACAATACTAAATAAGTTTCCAAAATTTTCTTTTCCTGACTCACAACATCATGACTTATGTTTCATTTATCTTTCTGAGCTTTGAAGAGTTTCAAAATTGCTTTGTATTGACCACAAATTGTGAAGACTAGGTCTGTTTTTTAAAAAAAAAAAAATAATTCTAGAACTACACTGACTTTTTTTATTACTTACATACTTAGTTTAACATGCAGCTCTGTGGGAAAGGGAAAACTGAAGTATATGGCTACGATTATCTCATTTTGAAATCAACTGTGCATGTATAAAAAAGTTCTAATTCCTCATTACCGATGTCATGCATAGGAAAGTGGGGTGGATGGATGAAGTCTTAAGTCGATGTTCAGATCTACTGAATTTATGCTATATTCATGCATTGTGATTCAATTAATAATTTATAGCATGTTACCAAATTAATAAAAATTGTCAGTTGAATGAGCAGTTCTCTTTCTGCAGAGGAACAGAGCTTTCACAGGTTTTCTTACAGAAAGCAGGACTGAAAGAATATATGTTTAGATAAGAGTGCAGTAATAATCAACCTTTAGATGATACTCTTGGTCTGTAAAATTTAAAATGACATTTGTTTCACTATGAGTAACAATGTGCAATTACAGTTTTTAAGGGAGATGAGAATGGTATGCTTCAACTAGAAATCCAAATTTCTAGTGATAGTGGTAAGATGGTCTCATGCAGTCTATAACGTTACACAGCATTAACCTTCTTTCCTCCTTCCTTCCAAATTCAAGTTTCTAAAGCATTCTGGACTGCAAAAATATTTCTCCATTGGAAGCCCAGACAGGGGTGTTTCTTCTGTGAGAAAGTGACTTCAGACTCTGAATACTGACATTATACAGTACTCACTGGTATCTTAGCTCAGTTATGCTCTTCCTTTGCCAAGGGAGATGCTTCCTATCAGTTCTTTTTTGGTTATCAGAATAGGGCAAAAAAAAGTGATTTCTACTTTTTCTCAGTATTCCTTACTCTAATGATTTGCATTTTCTTTTTAGTATTTCAATGCATTCACTTTTTCTCAGTCAACTTATATCCTTCATATCTGCAGTGGGAAATCTGGTAGGAAAGTAACATGTAAGACATAATCAGGAAGGTGAATGGACAAAGGAAATTTTAAGGCTCAAATGCCACCACCTTAATATCTTACAGGAGAAATCAGGAGTCTTGTTCTTCTGTCTGTTTGCTTCTAATCAAATTTCAAAGCCTGTCTTATGTTTTCGTGTTAAAACAAGGTTTTCAGTGAATGGTATAAATGTCAGGTTAAATATCATGGCCTGCATCTTCAGTGGTTTTGTCTCCAGCTCTAACAGTCACCGTGGAGATGGCTTTGTTTTTTATCATGTTTCTGAAATCAACAAGGAACAGATGAGATTAGATAATTAATATTTCTGCTCCACTATTTAAGGAAACTCCTGTTAAAGAAGGGTTCTCATCTCTTTCTGCTTCTAAGTGTTTTGCTAGTGCATGTTGAGCTCCTCTGAGAACTCTGTGTATAAGATGTATAATCTGTAGAAACTATAGTGGATATAACAATTACTTTCAAACTGCTGCATTAAAAATTTGGGAAAAATAACTAGTAGAGTTGCTGGGGTTTTTGCAGTTTACCAGTGCCTGGTAAGATGATGGAGGAGGTTATTCAGGGTGTTACTGAAAACCGCTTGAGAGATAATGCAGTCATTGGTCATAGCCAGCATGGATTCAGGGGAGGAAAGTCACAGAATGACAGAATGGTAGTGGTCATCTAGTTCGATCTCTCTGCTGAAGCAGGTTCACCTCGAGTAGGTAGCACAGGAACGTATGCAGGCAGGTTTTGAATGTCACCCAAGAGGGAGACTCCATAACCTCTGTGGGCAGGCTGCTCCACCCTCGGAGTAGACTTTTTTTTCTCAAATTCAGATGGAGCTTCGTGTGTTCTAGTTTGTGCCTGTTACCACTTGTCCTAGCATTGGGCACCACTGTAAAGACACTGCATTCTCTTGACACCTGCCTTTTAGGTACTTAGAAGCTTTGGGAATATGCCCTCTCAGTCTTTTTCAGGCTAAAGAGCCCCAGGTATCTCAGCTTTTTCTTGTAAAAGGAGTGTTCCAGTCCCGTAGTCATCTTTGTAGCCCTCCACTGGACTTTCTCCAGTAGTTCCCTGTCTGTCTTGAACTGAGGAGCCCAGAACTGACCACAGTACTCCAGATGTGGCCTCACTAGGACAGAGTAGAGGGGAAGGAGAACCTCCCTCAACCTGCTGATCACAGTCTTCTTCCCGCACTCCAGGACACCATTGGCCTTCTTGGCCAGAAGAGTACACTTCTGGCTTATGGTTTACTTGTTGTCCACCAGGACTTCTGGGTCCTCCTCCACAGAGCTGCTTTCCAGTGGGTCAGCCCATAACCTGTACTGGTACATGGGGTTATTGCTCCTTAGATACAGGCCCTTATGCTTGCCCTTGTTGAACTTCATCAGGTTTCTCCTGCTGCCCAACTCCCCAGCCTGTCCAGGTCTCACTGAGAGTGTCAGCCACTCCTCCCAGTTCTGTATCATCATCAGACATGCTGAGGGTACTCTGTGCTTCTTCATCCAGGTACTTGTTGAATATATTGAACAGGGCTGGACCCAGTATTGACTCCTGGGGAGCACTGCTAGCAGGAGGCCTCCAAGTGGACTCTGTGACACTGATTACAACCCTCTGAGCTGTGTGTCACTTTCCATCTAAATAGGGGTGGTGGTCCAGGGAGGGATGACTCAGATTCACTAGTTCCCTTGGTTGGAATCAGGTGTACATGGGTAAGCAAAGGGAATTTATTGTATAACTGTGCTGGACAACTAACGATACGAGAACAACAACTGGTGTGATGGAAGTCAACAGGATGACCAATTAGCATAACTGCAGTCAGGCTTAACAACCACCAGTGCCATAAACAAAACGTCTGCCCTGTAACTGGGCGCACTGGTTAGCAAAAGCACCTATTACTTGCTATGTGTGCAAGTAGTGCCTAACGTTGCTTACTAGGAAAAGATAAAAAGGTGAAGAGGAAAAAAGAGAAAGAGAGAGCAAGAGATGGGTTCCAGTGTTAGTCTAGCTGACGGGGGTAGGAACTGTATGTAGTAAAGAAGGGAGAGAAAGAGAGAGAAAGGAGAGGCAAAGTTCCAGATCACCACTTCCTGGCTCCAGAGATGTCCCACAGGCCTAGTTCCTTAATGGATGGATGGAGGTGGTGATGGACGTGTCAACAAAATCAATCTATTGTCATTTTATCCCATCCTGGTGTGGGGATGTTGCCTAATTTACATAGAAAGCATAGAGGGTGGTAAATAACTTACATGAAAGGCATGAGAAGGTGGTGGGCCTGTGCAGGGAGACAGGGCCGTACATACCTCCAATGCATTCTGTGCCTCCTCAAGCAGGCAGGTGTTACAGTGCTTCTTTCACCACACAAGATTTGAGGCAACCCCATAAGAATCTGGCTCCTACAGCTCTGTCATTCAGCCAGTTCTCCATCCACCTCACTGTCCACTCATCTAGCCTGTACTTCCTAAGCTTCCCTATGAGGCTGTTAGGGCAGACAGTGTCAAAGCCTTACTGACGTTGAGGTAGACAACATCCGCTGCTCTCCCTTGTCTACCCACCCAGTCACACCATCATAGGATGCTATCAGATTGGTCAAGTATGATTTCCCCTCGGTGAATCCATGCTGGCTACTCCTGATAACCTTTTCCTCTGTATGCTTAGAGATGACCTCTAGAAGGAGCTGTTCATTATCTTTCCAGGGGTGGATGGGAGGATGACTGGCCTGAAGTTTACTGAGTGCCCTTTTTGAAGTCTGGAGTGACACTGGCTTTCCTCCAGTCCTCAGGCTCCTGTTCTCCACAGCCTTTCAAAGATGATGGAAAGTGGCTTAGCAATAACATCAGCAAGCTCACTAAGCACTAGTGGGTGGATCCCATCAGAGCCCATGGATTTAGGGGTGTTGAGTTTGCCTAAATGATCTCTAGCCCAATTCTCAACCAAGTACAGTTGTTCCTTTCTCCAAACTTTCTGTCTTACCTCCATGGACTGGGATTCCTGAGGGCTGGCCTTAGCCCTTAAGATAGAAGCAAAGAAGGCATTCAGTAACTCTACCTTCTCTGCATCCTCTGTCAGCAGGGCACCCACCTCATTCAGCAGGCACACATTTTCCCTTGTCTTCCTTTTCCTACTGATGTCCTTGAAGAGGCCCTTCTTGTTGTCCTTGACGTAATTTGTCAGATTTCATTCCAAGTGGACTGTAGTCTTCCTT